TGTCTCTCTTTTTTAATCTCGTTTAATCCAATCCATCATTTCAAGTTTACCTTTGATGTCATCTTAGGTATAATTTAGGACAGCACAGTACAAGATTAAAGAATAAAGGCTTCTTAAAACCTTGTTTGTTATCATGTGAGTGTTGCCCAGTCGAGTGTATCAAACATGTCCTGAAAGTTTACTTACGAAGTATGTGGTTGGTGCAAAAGCAAATCCACCAAAAAATCCGAGAAGCCCAGCAAAGAAGGGAAAGGTAATTGCAAAAAACATAGTAAATGCTGCAATCATTCGGAGAGCATGAGCTTGTGAGGACCATGTTATGAAATTGAAATACAGATCAGTATAATGCAGGACCTGTAGAAAATAAAATTTTACATACCAACATAAATATTCCTCGAAACAAATCGCAAGATCCAACTTGGCTTGAATTTTAGTTTCTTTACAAGTACAGTTTCTATCATATCAAACACTGGCATTGCATAAATCTGAAAAAATAGAAATAAAAAAAATTATAAAATTACTTTCTTAGATGAATAAATAGTCTTAACGGAAAGAAAGTCAGGCGTCTACCTGGTAGCCCCCAATGAGGTGAACGACGACAAACAAGTTAGCCATGGCAATTAACCACACAGGCTTTTCTAAGGCGATAAATATGTTCTCGTTGACTTCATTCCCAAAAATCCAAAATCCGATAAGAGCGACAGGAAAGTAGCAGATTGCAATGGCTACATAAGCAGCAATCACCCCCTTCCACATAGGTGCCTTAGAAGGATTCTCCGGGGTAGAAGGCATTGTAGCTTGAATCTCCAAGACCACATTATGACCGGCATAAGCAAAAGCAACAGTACCCAGGGCATTGAAGATGTTGAAAACAGTTCCTGCTGTGGTCGTTGCTTTATAGCCATATTGCACGTCTGGTTGTACGCCTTTGTCGACTGATGCCCCCCAAGCAATAGTAGAGTAACTTCGTGTCATAGTATCAATGTATTAGGAGTCCATCATTTATATCAGATGTTCATAATAAAATTATAAGAGAAGAACAGATTCAATAAATAATCATGAAATGCGAGAAAAACGTAAAAGTAAAGCAAGGGAGGAAAGCGGTTTCTAAATCCTCTTTAGCTGATCTGACCAACTATTGAGAAATTAATCCAATATATCGATTTTCCCCCTCCCTTTCAGAATTTTTCCTTGAAGTGTACAAGTTTAAAGCCTTTTCATTCAACCGACAAGGTTAAAGACAGTACTAATATCTTGCATTGACCATCGGATTTCATGAAACCAGAGATTTATGTCCATATCTTTATGTTGACAATGTATTGTATATTGCTATTTATAGTGAGAAAATAATAAACAATTTTCTAGATATAACTGGTTTAAAATGTTAAGAATAAATACAACATAACTCAAAGGCAAAAAAGGGTGTCGTCTACCTCAAGGACATGACAGCTGCGACCAAGGACACGCCAGAGATGGAATTGAAGTTCGGAAGATGAGACAACACAAAGTGAACAGAGGCGAAGATCATGATAAAATAGGTAAGCTTAATCTTCTTGCAATCTTTGCATACTAAATAATGGAACCTCTGCAAAGATTGACCTCCTGTGACCATGTAAACTATGTCTACACCAACTTCAACGACTAGCTGTAGAGGTATGACAATGTAAAGACCAAGTTTGTCACCGAATGCATGTTGTCCGAGTTCATGGTATCTGTCGAAACGTTTCCCAGGAACCATGTCGTGCATTTCAACCATTTGCCAAAGAGTGTATAAAGTGATAATCCAAGATATTATGAGTACACTCATTCCAGGGCCCCTGAAAACAAGAACAAATGATTCACAGTTGAGTCATGGCTAAATAATTTATGGATTAAACCATAATCCCTATTTTCGAGACCAAAGAGAAAATTACGGATTATAGCTGTTCATCCTCAGTATGAGAGTCTCTTCCACTAACTGCTGCATGTATTTGGATAAAGAAGGCAAGTTCAAAGTAAATCAAATAATTTAGCATTGAGTAATTAGTTGCTGTATTATGAACATTACAGCACTCTCAACTTTATCGAGAACGAAATAATTCAAAATTAGTAACGAAAAACAGATTTATTGTTGTGATTCACTTAACGTGAGAGATGCATCCACTCATTAGATTTTTAGATAAAGAATACAAGTTTCTTCACGTGCTCTAGAAGACTAGAACAAAAACAAAATAATTCACCAGTTTCATTTTAAAACCTCGACGCTATTTATGAAAATAAATTGAAGATTTGTTTACTAATGTTGGAAAATACGAGTAATAG